CACCACCCCCCCCCCCCACACCCACACCCAACCCCACACCCCCCCACCCCCACCCCCACCCACACCCACCCACACCCCACACTCATACCCACACCCCACACTCACACCCACACCCACACCCGCTGTTTACAGTATCAGACATAAGTTTCTTGCAGCTATATTTCAGACTCGGTAGGGCTCAGCAAAATCATTTGAATGAGTTTTTGTAAAAAATGAAGAAAGTAAATACAAATCTTCGTACCTATTCAAAATTTTTCAAAGAAACTTTTATTCGACAAATCCAAAAGAGATATTTTCAATCTCTTCATGAACTTAGAATAAAAGTCAGGAATCCAGTTTGGAAGGATCTTGGTTTCAAAGAACTTTACTTGAAGTGGTTCTGTCAAAGTCTTAGAACTTGATAGTGACAATAAAAATTTGTTTCAGCTACATGAGCGTTTTGTAAGATGTGGATGTAGATATTTATTGCTTAGTCACATCTTTAACAATACGTACACCAACACCTACACCCTCAACACACTGCAAGAGAAGTATACATTTGTCACGCTGTTCCCAAAAAATCCATGTAACCAACCGTGCACAATCAAATATATACAGACAACTCACTCAGAAACCTACGTTCGCAAACCCTTCTATACAGACACATTTTATGCATTATACGTGCGGTCTTCGAAACACTCTTGAATAAAAACAATGCCAAAGCAGTCTGATGAACATCTAATTAAAAATGAAATTGCGATAATTGTAGCTAGACATTCACACTCACGCCCACATTCATTCATGTGAATGAAATGGTAAAACAAAGTTTTGTAAGCATATCTTTCTTATTCAGGTCGTCCAATGGCGCCAATGGAAAATATTCCAAACATGAATCCATTTGCAACACAGTAGGCACCAAGGACATACTTCTTGTTGATGAACGCAAAACATCCAACGGAGAATAAATATAAGCTCATAAAAAAGTACCATTTGTAGAATCGAAGCGATCTGAGTATTTTACAGATCTGATCACGAATCGATGAGAAGAAAATAAATATGGTTTTACAAGAAAATGAAAACCCAAGTGACGTTGTCGATTTTTTGTTCTCTATCAATGGAGTCATAACACTTTCAGTTGCTTTGGTTGTGTGTACTTCTATCAACTCTTGGGTGGATTTTGTTTTAACACAGTTGTACTTTGGTGTTACAACCCACTGTTTGCTAGACTCTAAGCCAAATATTCCGGCAATCACTGCAAAAAACTTAAGGAGAGACATGGCGTTCAAAAAAAAGATGCAGAATATAAACATGTGGATTTCGTTTGGTGTAAATGCCAGAAGAGATAATATGGGAACCGTCGTCAACAATAGACAAGAAAAATATTGAACATTTGTCACTTGTAATATGATAATCATTGGCAGTAATAATAGAAGTGCAAGATATTGGAAAAGAGGCGCTGCACGACGAAGTATGTAACAGAAGCACCACAACTTTTGAACCCAGGATATGTGCTCTGCGCAAATGATACGTAGTCCCAATTTTCGAAGGATTTGCATTGGACCACACGTCCATCGGTGTTGTTGAGATAGATAACCAGAGAGTGTCGGCGGGATTTCGTTTAAAGACTCGACGTCTTTCATATACACTGAACGCCATCCATTTATATGAGCTCTAAGAGAGAGATCCATGTCTTCAGTGATTATATCTGTGTGCCAACCACCGCATTGCTTGATAGCCGATACACGCCAAACTCCACCTGTACCATTGAAACCGAAGTAGAGCGATGCTCGATGACTGCTTTCTTGTTCACATTTATAATGATAATTAAACCAGATCTCTTGCATGCGTGTCAAGAAAGACTCTTTGGGATTGGTGAATGTCCATCGTGTCTGAACGAAAGCCACGAGTGGATCTTGAATGAATGCTGGTATTGTTCGTAAGAGAAAGTCAGGAGCCGGTAAAAAATCAACGTCAAATATAGCGATAAAAGCAGCATTCGGCAGAAAGGACATGCCATTAATCAAATTACCCGCTTTGAATCCCTTCCGATCAGGACGACGAAGGATATCAATTTGCATATCATTTTTGCGCCATTTATCGACACATTGATCAATGAGTGCCATAACTCGTTCTTCAGTCGAGTCGTCAAGTACTTGAATGAATAAACGTGTTTTTGGCCAATCAATATTGCACGCATACTCAATGACAGACGCACAGCATTCGATTTCGTTCATCATCGGCAACTGAACGACAACAATCGGAAAATCGAGCAAATTGGGTGGTGATGATAACACATCATACAGCGTAGGATAAACTTTAGCCGGCAAACAAAAACGAAAAATAAGTTCCATAAGATGAAAGATGAGGTTTATCACATAGATTATAGAGAAAAATATTATTATCGTAATAATAATTACAGATACTGATCGCACTGTTTGACTGTCATGAGAATGAGTTGAGTTCTGCTGAGCAGAGTTCAATATTGATTGAATTTCAAGCCACATTTTGAATGCGCAATGCACAAGGCAAATATCTATAATGAGAGTTTGCTTTATCGACTGACATGAATCGATCTCAACATTAGGATCAATATATTTAGATAGATGTATTTCTTCTTGTATACTTACTCTAAGCCTTATGTTAATAAGACGAGCAAAAATCTATTAGCACGTAGCTTGTCAAAAGTATGTTAAGTGGCATCATCATATGTGTATCATCTCTGCCGGTTCTTTGTTACGACGTCATATGTATTTCATCTATATCTTCTTTTGTTCTATACATATAAGTGTGTGTATTCGTCTTCTTCTTTCTTCTGGTGACGTTTTCACCTTCCACAGAACTCTTCACCTTTCCTTGTTCTCACATATATATATACTTGCTGCTTTAAACAATAAATCATTCCATTCCATTCTTGTTCATAAGTGTGTAACATAATCTTCTCTGACTATCAATTTGGACAAGTGATCGGCCACCTTCTCACATTGGTGCACTAGCCAACTGTTTGTCATTCCAACATCACAAACATCTTTAAGTATTGGTAAAATAATTAAATCGTCAAGCTGGTGAACACACGTGGTACGTCCGACGAGCAAGCTCAAGCAAATCTTAAACAATACGAAGAGAAATTGAAAACCAAACGACTCGAACGTCTACTCAAACAGCAACAAGATCATATGGCATCCAATTTATCAATTCATCTTCTTTTAAAAGGTATCCAACCAATAGAACCATTCACGGGTGCAGAGGAACAAGATCCATTAACATGGCTACAAACCATCGATGAATTATTTGAAGCAACCAAAACTGAAAACAACG